TAGATTAAGATTATATTTCAATCTTATTGACTTGTATTTCCAATTGGCTCTAAATTTTCTAATATTTTTATAGTTTGTGATTCGTGTTCTAAGTACTATCTAAACAATCAATTACAAAGGGTTATCAAATCACTTTAGTTTTCAAATTGTTCTATTTTTTATTTATTTATTTTTTTTATAAATCTAATTTCCTTTTCGAGTATGTTCAGATTACTCGGAAAGATATCGGAAAAAGTAGAGAATACAGGGAAAAATGTTAGAGAATTTCAGAAAGTCTGTTATTATTCAAAACAATGTCAGCTGCATATGTAAAAGTATAATATATATTTCTGACTTTTCCCCAATTCACAATTATTCAACAAAACTCAGTTTTACGTGATTATCTTAAATACGGTTTCACAATAGCTATACATTTTTTACAAAATATCTACTATTTATTTTACAAGAATAATAATTTGTATTCATAGGTTTCAAAATATATTTTTGACAGCAAACTAAATAGTCACCTGGTGTGCCGATCCGACCGAATATAGACCTTCAGAGCTGTATACAAGATTTCATTTCGTTACAAAACAAAATAATATCGCAAACATAAATTTACTGCGAAAAAAAAATCCTTTAGGGGGTTCGAGCACCCCAGGCTCCCCTCTGTATACGTAAACTTTTTGAACAGACATTTTTGAAATTTGATAAAGTTGTCATGAACTTTTTTTAATAATGGAAAAACTCTTTTTTCAAAAATCTTATGATTTTGAATAGATTTTCGACATTTGTGCCGTATGTATTATAAAAATCAGTAAGGAAAGTATTAAAGTCGGACGGGGCCGACTTATATGATACCCTAAACCACTTTGGGTATATTCAATATAGACATAAAAATCGGACTAAATTAAATATGTGATCTGTATCTTTATGTGAGCGTACTTAACCCTAAGATCAATAACCGGGTACATTTGTACCTATTTATACCCCCCACCATAGTGAGGAGGGTATATTGAGTTTGTTTTACCGTTTATAACTCATTGAAATAATTATTTCCGATCCTATAAAGTGTATATTCTTGGTCAGCGTAAAATTCTATGACGAGTTAAGCATTTCAGTCTGTTTGTTGTAATCACAGTAGCCTCTAAACAAATTGAAATAGATGGTCAAATTTTTTAAAAGAGTTGTGTTTTGTCTGCAAGCTGGTCAATTTCGAAGATTAGCTATATCAGCCCACGCTTAGGCATTGGGCCCATATAAGAGTACCCCTAAATTTCGATATTTTGGGGTTTTTGTGTGCGCTCTTCATGCGAATTTGCAGAAATTTGGAACGATGAGTTCTTATTACCACTAAAAATTATAAATATCGACCAACATTTTCTGGTAGCCCCCATATAACGGTATCCCCCAATTGTTTGTATTTTGAGGCGCTTGAGCGGGCTTTTCAAATCCACTGAAATTTGTGCAATGAGTTCTTATTGAATACATCAATCCACACACATGTCCTCGCTAACGTATGCCAAATTCCATTTCATTAGGGCAGGTTTACAGAAGTTTTTGTGCAATGGGAGAAAAATTATAAATCGATTTAAATCAAACTATTAATTACGCTACAGCACAGCACATGCAACGTTAGTACGTTGTGGAACATTTTGTGACCATTTGCAAAAAATCGGACGAAACTATATATGTCAGCTATATCTAAATCTGAACCGATTCAGTAAAACTTGGCAGACGTTGGACTATTATATTTTGAGTACGTTGTGCAAATGTTTGTGTCAATCGGCCTAAATTTGAACCTTTGGAACGCTATTTAATTAAAATCGGACGAAACTAAATATGTGAGCTATCTTAATCTGAACCGATTTCAATAAAACTTTGCACACGTTATCCTATCGTAACTTTAGAACGTTGTGCAAAATTGTGTGTCAATCCGCCATATTTTGGAGCTTTGGTAAACCATTTACTTAATATCCAACGAAGCTATATCTAAATCTGATCCGATTTTTCCCAATTTCAATAAGGTTCGCCCTTGGGCCAACTAAATAAGCTGTGCCAAATTATATCCAATTCGGATCATAATACGAACTGTACTTTGTTTACAATTTAACATGGACAGACGGACGGATGGACATGCATAAATCGACTCAAAAAGGAAAGATGTGTCTACATCGTTTACTTTTGCCTGTTACAAACATATGCACAAATACATAATACCCTATAACGCAGTGTGGTGAAGTATATAAAAGTTATGTATGGCTCTGGTATTAGTTTAGATTATCGACTTCGCTCAAAAATTTGCAAAATGGCGGAGCTAGGAAAATTATTTATTTATTTTTTTTATGTTTTTGGATTGGAGTTTATACGATAGTTATATAGGTCCAGAATAACGTGTTAAAATTAAGAACATATCGATTTTTTGAAGGAGAGAATGGGGGTTTTATATGTCATGTTTGTTGAATACAATTTTGACCGACGGGAAACCCCCATTGTCGATTTACAACTTGAACGATTTTATATATTTGAAGACTTTAAGTAGAAGAAAATAAGTCGACTTTACTTTGTGTGTGTTTTTTATACCCTCCTCCATAGTATGGAGGGTATATGAATTTTGTTTTTCCGTTTGTAACTCATCGAAATAATCATTATATATATATATATATTCTTGATCAGCGTAAAATTCTAAGACGATCTAAGCATGGCCGTATGTTATAATCACTCTAGCGTCTAAACGAATTGAGATAGATGTCCAAAAACTTCAATGATGGGCTATATCGGTCCACGTTTAGGCATAGCTCCCATATAAGGTTACCACCTAATTTTTGGTATTTCGGGGTTCTTGATCGCGTTTTTCAACCAAATTCGCTGAAATTTGGTACCCAATATAAGGGTACCCCCTTGTACCGGACCGAATTTTTTCACCGAATTGCCTATAATTTTTTATTTTAAGCTTTTAAAAGGTACTAAATCTCTCTACCAAAAAAATTATATATAGGTCCATTTTTTCCGGTAGCCCCCATATAAGGGTACCCTCTAATTTTCCGTATTTTGGGGTTCTTGAGCGCGGTTTTCAACCGAATTCGCTGTTATTTGGTATTTTGTCGTATATGGTAACAAATCTCCCTGCCAAAAATTATCAATATTCTCCACTTTTATAAGTAGTTCCCATATAACCCCCTTGTTTACACCCTCCACCATAGTATGGAGGTAATATACCCTTCATACTATGGTTGAGGGGATATACTTTATTCAACATTGTCCGTTTATACCCTACATAGTATGAATTTGTAAGATGATTTAGTCGATTTATACATCTGTTGTAGTGATTCTTCCTTTAGAGAATATCGAGATAAAAAAACTAGTAGTTCAGTTTCGAGAATGACTATATCGGACCGCTTTTGGGCATAGTGCCTATATAAAACCAATCGGCTTAAATTTGGGTCTTTGGTGCATTATTTACCTAAAATCGGACGAAACTATATATGGGTACTATATTTAAATCTGGATCGATTTTCCCCATTTTCAATTGGATTCGTCCTAAGGTCAAATAAATGAGTTGTGCTAAATTTATTCAATTCGGATCATAAATGCGACCTGTACTTTGGTTACAATTTAACATGGTTAGACAGACGGACGAACATGCAAAAATCGACTCAGAAAGTGATTATATGGATACTCTCAAGAGGAAACATTTGTATATCTCGTTTCCTTTTGCCTGTATCAAACAAGTGAAGAGTATTAATATTAGCTTCGAAATTGCGCTATTATAAAAACGCCAAATATTCGCTAATTCCTAAACAATGTTGTCAATATTGGTCCCGCTTTAGGTATGCCTCATATAACTTTGTCCTCTAAATTGCAGTATTTTGAGGATTTTATACAAATGTTTCACCCTGCCATGCGTTCATAACACAGGTTAAATTTTTAAGGGTTTTGAGTTATTAGGAAAACCTCCAACCAAATGCTGAACTTTATACTTGGTATACATTATGGTTTGCAACAATCGATTTGAAGAATTGTCGTTATAGGTCCACTTTTTGGTATGTTACACATACGTTCATTTCACGTAAATATATATATATATATATTCCTATGGTGGAGGGTATCCAAAGTTCGGCCCGGCCGAACTTAACGCTTTTTTCACTTGTTTTAATAAAATAATTTTCCTTATTTACGACAGTGGGCATGATTTCCGATCACTGAAACATGTGAAACTAAAAATTCCAACGGGATAACATGGAGAATGGCTCACATATGTATATTTTTTTATTTATTCAAGTTATTAGGATAGTTATGTACGTTCAGACTAACGTTTAGAACCGATTTGATTAATAATTCTTGAGCAATCGTGTCTACCGATCTTTGCGAACATATCTCGCAGTCACATGTCGCTTATGCCATAAATCGATTATATTTAGAAGAGTTCTGAAATCTTTAAAATAAATTTTTGAGCTCCAAATAAATATAAATAAAAAGCCGATTTTTATTATTTAGACGCGTACAATGCATACACTAGCAATATTGGCTTATATTTTCCCGGAATAAGTGTATAAAAATGTCTACGCTGAATAAATGCTTGCAAATTGTTTAAGTATAAATATTTAAAAAAAATATTTTCTATGTTTGTACAAACGTTTGGAAGAAATAAAATATGAGTCTGATTCCAACATTATTGCCACATTTAATTTGGAGATTATTTTTAACCCAAACTAAGATAACACCATAAATCGATCATAAAATACAGGTAAGGGTAGACTAGTCTATCAACATGTTTTAAATTCAATGTTATAATATTTAAAATACATCAATAAACATTCTATCCACTATTCAATATTTATCCCCCACTGTATTCGACTAGAAACGACAAGACAAATTATGCTATTCACTTGTTCAATATGAGAATAAAAACAACCCCCCACTCTCCGCTACAAGAAACACGATGGAACTCATAAAAAAACAACAAATACAAAAATTACTAGAAAAAATGTTTTAGTGCGATTTTGAAAAAAAATGCTTACCCTGCGTTTGTTTTTGAAAGGTTTGTAGGATTTGCCTTTGTGTTTGCCACCGCCAATATGTAGCTTCTTCATTTTGACAAGGTTTCAAATTCCGTAGAAGACAACAATAAATTTGCAAGTAATTTCTTCAATATTAACACTTTATTTTTTGTCTGAATAAGACTTTTTTATTTCAATATTTTTTAATTGCTTATAACAGCAATAACAAACTTATGCAATTCACAATATACAACAAATTGTTGTTAATATATTTTTTTATGATTGATATTTTTAGCCTCAATTATTTTGGGCAAAATGAAAAAAAACAACACGTTGAAGAATTTGATATTAAAAATATTTTTCTATAGAACTTTAGAGGCTCTAAAATAACTTTAAGAATTCAATATATTTTTTGTAATATTTTTATTCAATTCTTTATTTTAAAATATTTGTTCCTTTTAACTATTTTCACTATTTGCCTTTTTGGGTTATTGAAATTCACAATTTAAATTATTGAAATATTTTTTTTATTTCCTTTATTTCTTGTTGCAAGAATTTTTTGTTAAATAAAAAGAAAAATATGGAAGCGATCGCTCGTTTGGTTTTCCGTTAACCAGAAAAAAAAACACACACAGAGAATATCCGCTGAACCGAAATCCGAAAGATAAAAATTTCAACTAATTTGATCTTCAGTCAAAACGATGGGACAGAGACAAAAATGTTGTTGTTTTTCGCGAGTATCGAAGAAAAACGGAAAAACGAAGAAAATACGACCCCAAAAAACATTAGCGAAACCACAATAGATGAACGGGGAGACGTAGACACACAAACACATGGCCGTGTCTGTAGGAGAACAAAATGTTTCACGGTGGCCAACTGTTAGACACGCTATTTATAATTTATAATTTTAAGGCGGGAATTATGATTTTCTTGGCGCCCAACAGATTGATAAATAAGTGCCAGATCAACCTATAGCTGTAGTCGTGTATCAAGAAGTTGATTAAAAAAATCGCACCCATAAAAATCATATCTATCGAATATTATATATTCGGGAGCGTAATCAATCTATTCATTTGCAAGTTGTAAGTTTACACAATTATTATACCCTACACCATAGAGTTCTTGTTGGTTAACAAATCGCTCAACTAAATATTATAAATGTAGGTCCATACCATACCATTTTTCGGTATTTTGGGGTTCTTTAGTTGTTTTTCAACCGAATTCGCTGAAATTTGGTACATTGGCTTCTTATTGGGTACCAAATTTATCCAAAATAAAATTAAAAAAATATAGATCCACTTTTTCTGGTAGCCCCCATATAACGGTACCCCCAATTTTCACTATTTTGGGGGTTTTGATCGCATTTTTGAGCGTATTTTTCGACTGAGTTGGTTGTAACTTAGTACTTTGAGTTCTTATTGGGTAGCAAATATCTCCACCGAAAATTATAAATATAGGTCCATTTTTTCGGGTAGCCCCCCATATAAGGGTGTACAAATTTGGTACAAGTCCCTTATTTGACCCAAGGATGAACCCTATTGAAACTGAAAAGAAAATCGGTTCAGATTTAGATATAGCTCCCATATATATTTTCGCCCGATTTTATCTAAATGGTGCGCCAAACACCCAATATTTGTCGGAATAAAAAAACTTTTTATACAGCATACTGAATCCTTTAAGTATACGAAGATTTGTGAAAATCGGTTCAGATTTAGATATAGCTCCCATATATAGTTTCGTCCGATTTTATCTAAATAGTGTACCAAGCTCCCCAGGATTGTCCGATTGATACAAAATTTTGCACAGCGTATTGAAATATATCCATATTGATGTATACGAAGTTTTGTGCAACTCGATTCAGATTTAAATAAAGCTCCTATATGTAGTTTCGTCCGATTTGATTTTAATGGTGCACCAGACATCCAATGTTTGTCCGTTTGAGACAAAATTTTGCACAGCGTACTGAATTAGGTACAGATTGGTGTAGTTCCCAATTAACCCACTTTTTTATATTAAAATAGTTATCTAATTTGTTCCGTGTATTGGTTCTAAGACTCTATTGTAATCTTTATACCTGTGGATGATATCGGGATAAAAACTAGAACGTAATGTTCGATAATGAACTATATATGAACTATAACCCGCATTTAGACCTAGTCGCTTTGTGGGAGGTACCAGAGGGAGTGAACCGTTATTCCCCATCTTCGAATTTGAACTAAGTTTGGAAGAAACTAATTTGGTCCAAAGAAACATGGGGTCTAAAACTAATATTTCGATGAAGCACATTTTCACCATGTCAGCCATAAGGCTGAGGGTACAATTATCCATTAAAAATTTTCGAAATTTGTATTATGATTTACATAATCGGTTTGTAGAAATGTCAGTATAGGTCCACTTTTTGGTATTTTCCGTATATTTTCATTTCAAGTACCTGTCAGTATATCTATGGTGGAGGGTATACAAAGTTCGGCCCGGCCGAACTTACCGCTTTTTCAATAGTTTTTTTTTTAAACCTCCCAGTTGAGGTTTTTCACTAGTTTTTTTTAACCTCCCAGTGGTTAGGATAACATGCTGAACAAATTAACCTACACTCCCATGATAACCTTTGCCTCCAGCGATCATTTAATTTCCAACAAACAACCTGAAGTTTCTAATCAGTTATTCTTCTCCTTCTCCTTGATTTTTCTTCCAGCAAATATACCATAATCGCTTCCGGTACCATACACTCCAATGACAAATATACGGTAGCTGTGGCCGTACATCACGTGGACTCTGCATGCCAAATTAAGGTGGGCATTACAAGTCTCTACTTTAATGAAAGTGCAATTGTTGAGCTCACAGGTTCGGAAATAAAAGAAGTCGAGTTCGGAGTGCCCACCTCGGCTAAGGGTAAATACAATCTAATAGCTGAGGGTATTAATTGCCTGGAGAATTTTAAAAATTCCACTTGAAGTATGCCAAGTTTAGCCCCTACGTTTGGATCCAAACCGACAAAGGTCAGTATAAATCGGGTATTGTAAATGGATAAGGAATTTAAACCAGCCGTGCATAGATATAGCTCCTACATATAGTTTCGTCCGATTTTTTGTAAATGGTGCACCAAACTTCCAACGTTTGTCCGATTGAGACAAAATCTTGCAGAGAGTACTGAATTAAGTGCAGTTTGGCGTACGTGAAGTTTCGTCGAAATCGGTTAGATTTTAGATTTAGATACATCTCCCATATATTTATACCCTTCACCAAACTGTCGTACAGGGTATTATTTGTTTGTGCATATGTTTGTAACAGGCAAAAGGACACGAGATAGACACATGGTTCCTTTTGAGAATATGCATAGAATCACTTTCTAAGTCGATTTATGCATGTCCGTCTGTCTGTCCATGTTAAAATGTAAACAAAGTACAGGTCGCATTTATGATCCGAAATGGATAAAACTTGGCATAGGTCACTTATTTGGCCCAAGGACAAACCCTATTGAAAAATCGGGAATATGGGAAAAATCGGTTCAGATTTAGATATAGCTCTCATATATTTTTTCGTCCGATTTAATGTAAATGGTGCCCCAAAGTCCCTATATATCTTTTGATTTGCACGAAATTTGGCACAACGTAATGAATTAGATCTAGAATGGTGTGTGTTAAGTTTCCCAAAAATAGGTTCAGATTTATATGTAGATTTAATGTAAATGGTATACCAAAGTCCTTATATATCATTCGATTTGCGCGAAATTTTGCACAGCCTAATGATTTAGGTCTAGAATGATGTGTGTTACGTTTCCTGAAAATCGATTCAGATTTAGATATAGCTGCCATATATATTTTCGCCCGATTTAAGGTAAATGGTGTACCAAAGGCCCTGTATATCTTTCGATTTGAACGAAATTTTGCACGGCGTGCTGAATTAAGTCTAGAATGACGTGTGCCAAGATTCGTGGAATTCGGTTCAGATTTAGATAAAGCTCCCATATATATGTTCGTCCAATTTCATGTAAATGGTGTACCAAAGTCCCTATATTATTTGCACATAGCGTACTGAATTGTGTCAAGAATGATGAGTGGTAAGTTTTGGGAAAATCGGTTCAGGTTTCGGTAAAACTCTCATATATACTTTCGTCCGATTTTATGTAAATGGTGCACCAAAGTTTGTACTGAAGATACTATAACATAACGTGGGGCACAAAAGACCCAAAGTTTGCTATAACATTTTGCACTGAAATTAACATTGTCTAAGGTTCGGCAAGTTTTCTAGGAATCGGGTCCGATTTATAGCTCGCATATATAGTTTCGTCCAATTTTAAGTAAATGGTACAAGACTCAAAGTTAGGCCGATGTGGAAAGTTTTTTTGAAATCGGTTCAAATTTGGATAAATGGTGCACTGAACATAAACATGAGGTGGTTTATCAGATATTTGTCCAAATAATCAACGGGTGTCCGATAGATATTTGCATGTTTATGGATCCAACATCATTTTATTGGTCCGTCAGAAATGCGGCATCTGTTAAAATTCATCTGTTGAATATATCCAAAGTGATGATGGGTATCATATAGTCGGCCATGTGCGACTTTACTACTTTCCCTACTGGTTAAACATTTCAGGTCATTTATTCATCGATTTATTTTCACATGTTAGATCATAAATGTGAACGTTACTGAAAAAGTGATTCTATGTACCTCTTCTTTTAATGTTACAAAAAAAATTAGTCTGTGAGTCATAGTCCATAACATGTGCAAAATGACCAAATGTAGCGTACCTATAGATTATAGGAAGAACAAATATCATCGTCATAAGCAGCATCATCATCATCATCGGCAACAGAAATAAAACAAATCGTTTTATTTGTTTTCGAATAGCTTATTTTTTTCAAGAATTGTAATATTTTCAAATACTCAAATTCGGACATAACAACATACATACCAACTCATATGTGAGTATATACACGGACATACATTCATTCGTCTGAATATTTTTTATTAACGAAGCATTTTATTTACATTTCTTACGTAGCAACGTCGGCAATTTCATTGTTTCTAGTCCAGCTGATGTTAAAATGTTTTTCCAATTTTTTTTTCGTTGTTGATGTCTGGCGATGACGTTGAACTTCTTGTAGACGATTTGTTTATAAGGGGATTTTTTTTGCTGGTGAAA